ATAAAGTGAATAATACATTTACTTTTAGAATTTGAAGCCAAAATAATATACTTATTTGAATTTTGAACAAAAAATATACTTTATGAGAGCATATTCCATATTCTGAAACAGAATATCTGAATATTTGTCAGAAGAATTTTTTCGTACCTATAAAAATCGAATATTGAACGAAAATTAATTAAAAATTACTTGTATTGTTCAACTACTTGTTCGATGTTTTTGTATCACCAATGTTGAAATTTTCAGAAGATATTGTCAATGGTAAAAATATTTATTTTTTCCKACATTGTTGCGTTTACTAGAAATTATTTTCATATTCAAAAACGCATTAATATGCCGAGTGACCAAAATATAATGACAGTGCAGTATAAATAAAATAATCACCCTGCAATATTCATCATTATCTTCATCATCACAGTATACACATACGAAGACGGAGAAGGAGACGAAACGTCACGATRAAGTGCCAAATCGGTGAGCTATAATTATTGTTATACGACGATACTCGTGAGTATAAGGCCACACGTGACATGTAAGAAATTAATATCATTTTACGTCAATTCCGAGAAAAAGTGGGTGTATCCGGACGCGAGCGTCAGGAAATCGGTCGGGCGCGTGCCTTCGCACTGTGTCACAGCATCACAGGCCACGGTCTACGAGAACTTCCGCGGCGCCTCTCTTATAATCGTTTGACGAGCTTGCAGCACACACCGCATTATAATATTTTAGACGCATTTCGTTAAAATATTATATTTTAATAATTGGCACAATTTGTGGAGGGGGGAGCTTAAAGGAACTTATTGCCCTCAAAAAAATTGTATTTGAAGTATTTAATCCTTCATTAGTTATCTCATCTGCATAACTTAATAAACTTTGTTTGAACAAACTATTTTSTAAAGTTTAATAAAGATTCATTATTCTCACTGTGTTTTCCATAGTAGACATAAWATAAGTTTGATAATAGTATTTTAAATTAATAAATACACAATACATTACACTGATAACATTTCAATTTGTTTTGTATATAGTTTATACTCGACAGCAATGTTTTTTTTTAAATATAAATTTGCAATTTCCAATAATGTGTTACAACTTACAATTATAATACTTTTTTGTATAAGTAGTAAGTACTGAATGTTGTAATTTGTTTTTGTAAGAATATTTTTCATTTTATTTTTATAATTTGTTAAATGTAAGAAAGTGTACAAGAAAATATGGATTGATACATTTTTTTTTTTTATTAGCTTTCAGTTTAACTATTACAGTTCAACAATAATTAGGTATATTATTATCGTTATATATATATAAGTGAGATAAGAAATAATATCTACCTAATTATTATTAGGCAGATACAAAGACACTGGTTAGGTTATTATGTTATAGGTATTACATAAAGTAATATACTTTAAAGGTATTTGAACAGGAGGGTGTGGGGACAGAGCCTGCCTCGAGTCTGTTTAATTTAGATATGGAAAGTTTATCGAAGTCAAAAACTGAAATTGAGTCTACGATTCTAATGATATTATAAGAATATAAATACTAAGATAATCACGTGATATCTTCGATATTCATATATTTTCTTATATAAATTACCATTAAAAAATGACGTAATATTGTATTGTTTTTAAATTATCCACATTAATGTTTTCTGTTTATATTCTCGTATTTCTAATTTCTATTACTAGCATGAGTTTAAGATAAGATGTAGATACTCTGCTCTATAATTAGTCAAGTTGTAGAGAGCAATGCTAGATTTCCCTATTGTACTTTTATAATATATTACCTATCTCACCTGTATATTGTATAACATTTAACTGTATAACAATATTAAAGGTACACATATTTTTTTTTTATTGGTTAAGCATCAACTACATAGGTTATTATTAGCTTTAACAAAAGTATTACATTTTTACATTTCTATACATTATATACACACAAATTATTATACTATTAGTCTGCTACATGAGGCTGTTGGTTTCTATAATTCGCATGCGCCGCGATACGAACACACTATTATATTATTATATCGGTGTGATCCCGAGAGCACCCGGGGAGCGGTAGAGCATAAAAAAAATATTCTTTGTAAAATATTATCACGATACACTTTTTCACAACTGCGCCAACGTCTTTTATGAAAATGCAATACACATTCATCATCTGGCTTGTTTGTACACCTAATATATATATAATATATACAAAGCAATAAGTTAATCAGTATCATTCTTATTTATATTTTAAACGATAAATGAAGATTTCAGAGTTCAGATTTTTAACAAAAAACTTTAAGAAAAACAAATTAATATGTTTAAAAGCAATTGATTTGCTAGTAGTTTTTTTTTTTTTTAATAAACAAATTCAAATCGAGTAAAAATCATTACAATTAGACAAGTTAGTTTATAAAAATAAAAATGTTTCTAACTTATATTGTAATAGGATCCACAAAAACAGCACTATATTTTTTGTTAACAATAAAAGGCTACAGACTTTTAAAAACAATCAGTTTAAAAATATATTGATGAAATAATGAATGATGCTTATTATTAGTTATTTGTTCTAATATTTGGAAAATTAGTTAAATTTTATTATTTTTTTTTTAAATGCCTACTTGAAAACACTATACCTATTAGGTACTATGAATACTTGAATTAATAATTAAATTAATTCTTTGATCGTGATACGATAACCAATGTACCAAAGTAGGTACTAAAAACAAAAAAATTTATTTTTAACGATTTTTTTTAATTATCGTTACTTATCGTTTACAACTACGACTGCCTACAATATTCTATGAAACACAATTCAGTAATCTGATAAGTATTTATGTTATGTACATAGAAGTCACAAGTATTGTATGACTGTCAAAAAACAGATTCTTTGTAATRCGTATTTGCATCTCAAAAATCAGGGACTTATCACGAAAAAAAAATTGCTGTGATTTTTCTATAGAGTACTGGCCAATAGCCATATAGCACATTATCGAAGAGACGAGAATGTTGGTCACGAATCACACGTCAACACTTTCAGTAAAGTATTCTACTTGTGATTATGAAATTAAAATGTATAATATTATGTATCAGATCATCTCGTATTACAATGTATTTGGGTTATAAATACTTCAAAACCATATAGGTGCCTATATTATTATACATCTATAAATTATAAACATTCATAAATAATAAAATAACACTGAAACCGACAAACACATAAATAACAGGTAAATGTACTCGGAAAATAATATTGCACCTAAGGGTTACCAGTATTACGGATCACTCCTGTAACAGTATAATTCGAATTAATTTATTAATTCAAACGCCCAATTACAGTTTTAAATAGGTATAAGAATAATAACAAAATGTATTCAAACGAAAAAATAAATAAATAACAGAATAATAATAATAAAATAATACTAACGAATATGTAGGGAATAGCTACCTAATGTAAAAATAATTCAAGCACAAAATCTAATAATATTTTTGTTAAAAAGACCCAATAGAGATAAAATGAAATAAATAAATGTACCTATCATTGGCTAATCTCATGGTTCAAGAGCATTGAGGGTATAATAAATTAGTTCTTCATAATACATTTTGATTATTTTTGTATCTAAACATTATAAAGAGGACCAAGTTTTATATTGAATAACGTACAGATTTGAACAATTTAGTAATTTRAWTGTATTCAATATCCATTGACCAATCTATTACATCAGCCATAACGGAGCTAAAAATCCAGTAAAGTTAATTAAAACGGTTAGGCGAGTTCCAACTAGTTGATGTAGTTTGTGTGACCGAGAAGCCACCCGAAGTATAAAGCCACATAGAACACATTTATATATTATTATTCATAATTAAATAAATTTGATGTATTAGTCATGTATTTAATGTATCATTAATCATAATATATTACCTTAAGAACCTTAAGAACTAATTACCTTAATATATTAACTTAAGAACTAAAATTATAAATGTTTACAAGCTATAAAATACACTTTATCTTTAAGACAAACTCAATTAAAACCAAAAATCAACCATACGAAACCAAGAAAAAAATGTATAGAAATACCGTTTAATAATTAAAAATCTCAAATACAAACAAACGTTAAGTAAAACGAATAGTTTTTAGATATTACGATTCGTAATGGTACATACTATATAATATAGAGTTGTGCATACTATTATAGCCACTATATAATTATTAGAAATTATTTTTACTAAACATAAGTTAAACAATTGAGTAGTATATTTTTGGGGATTACGGCTCAATTTTTACAGGAAGATCGGATGCGATATAATCCACAAGCGTTACATTCATRCCCTAAACTTTTTTTCAGCTTCATGTAAAAATATGGAGCCAGAAGCCCCGAAAACATACTACTAAATTGGTTTACACTAATCTATAAAAAGCGAAAAAAAAATTATAGAGGTACGCATATCCTTCACAATATTCTGTATTATTATAATATTCAAATTACCATCTAAAAATATAGCTACGTACCTAGGTGTGTTATTTTTAAGTTACTAGCAAAAATATTCTATTTTATATCGTTTCTGATTTCTGTTACAATAATTATCACGAGTCTTAGTTAAGGGTAGTAATAATTTTGGAGTCTCCTTTTGGTCTCCGATAAGAGAGGCTAACCTCAGAGTAGATTTTTATTTCGTGACTATTTTTACATCGCACAAAGTAACAATTATTATTATTAACTCTAGGCCGAATGCAACTATAATAATTATTAGTATATTTGATATCGGACGAATCACGATTTCTAACAACCCTCCTGTGGTGGACGAACTAAGAGGCACGTGTGATAATATTAAAATACCATATCATATATCATTATCATTATTATTATTATCAACACGGGCCGTACGAATCTGTACCGCGGTACACGGACAACGCGGCGTGTCATCCCGAGCGTACGCGGGACGGATACACACGCGCGCGCCCCCGCCCGCCGGCGTGTGGCAGTGCGGCACACGCAATCGCGCCGCGCGCACCGACCGACGAGTCCGCCGCCGGCAGCCGCGTCGTCGTGTGTCGCCGCCACGTATTATATATATTATTTTGAATAATAATATAACACTACGCACACGCCACGGACACTCGCGCGTTCGTCGTTCGCGCCGACGACACGCGGTGAGATTTGATCGCCGCCGCCGCCTCCATTTCGCCGTCGCATACGATACGTCATTTTCTTTTAAATATTATTGAAAATTACAAAAAAATTTCAACATTATTCACATATTTTGCACATTCGCCCGTCGATCGCCGTGTCATAGTCGTCATCCATTCGTAAGTTAAA